TGTATGTTGAGCAAATAGTTACTGATTGAATCCTTTATTAAAGTCTTAAAATAGCGATTGTGTCTGGGTTTTGTTTTGAACTTTAATGTTAAATTTTTAATAGCTTTCATTTTTCCTAGGGCAATTCTATTGAGTGAAAATGTAGTTAATTTTTGGAAGATATCTGTTTCTAAAGAGAAATGAGATTGAATTGGTCTCGGTTTAAAAAAAAATTTTTTTTTAATGTTTATTTCTGAGAGAGAGACAGAGACAGTGAGTAGGGGAGGGTCAGAGAGAGGGTGACACAGAATCTGAAGCAGGCTCCAGGCTCTGATCTGTCACCACAGAGCCCAACGCGGGGATCGAACCCACGAACCGTGAGATCATGACCTGAGCCAAAGTCAGATGCTTAACCGACTGAGCCACCCAGGAGCCCCTGAATTGGTCTAGGTTTTTATTTATATACTTGGAATGCTTATTGTGTGCAAAGGTTAAGTGCTTTTATACATTACTTTTTTGATCTTCACCAAGACTATATGGGTAGGCACTTTATTCTCTTCATTTGACAGATCAGAAAACTAAGGCAAAAAGAAATTCTTTGCCCAGGGCTACACAGTAGTTAATAAGGTTGGGATTTGGACCCAGGCTATTTTGAGTGTAGTGTATAGGTTGTACTGTACTACTTTCCAAATCATCACACTAATTGTTTCTGTTATACTTCCAGTTTTATATAGACCCATATAAACTGCTACCACTGCAGAGGTTTTTACCTCGACCTCCAGGTGAGAAGGGACCTCCAAGAGGTGGTGGCAGGGGAGGTCGAGGAGGAGGAAGAGGCGGAGGTGGCAGAGGTGGTAGAGGTGGTAAGTTACTTGTGGGGGAAAATTCCTAATGAGATTTCAAAGTTGCAGCCAATTTGCATAGTACAATTTAATTTGTACGTAGGAAACTTCTCTTGTGTTTGTTTTATTGTTTTAGAAAAACTATTTTCAAATCTTGGCAGGTTGCCATAGTAATAATGTTTAGTTTCAATAACTTATTTTTTAAAAATCTAATAAAGCATAATTTTGAGGGATTTTATCTCTATGGGGTTATTCATGTTTTGTTGAACATTTTATAAAGTATAAGATTGTCCTGACTTAATTTTAGTTTTTTAATTAATATCACTGGGTGTTGAATATATGCTGAGAGCTTGTCGTGTTCTTTTAATATCCACGTATGTTCCTGTAATATTCGGCAGAACCTTGTGAGCTAGGGGATAGCCTTATTTTAGATGAGGAAATGGGAGGCTTACAAAAGTTAATTTGCGCTAATCAAGCAGTCCACAGTCCCAGACATAAACTCCTATCTTCTGATGTTATGTCAAAGACTTAACCAATAAATTCATTGCTTGGTTTTCAGCATTTTGACATAGGTATTTGTGGAAGGTTTTGTAACATGCATCATTATGAGCGGTTAGATGATGCCTGGGGCTGGGGACAAGGTGGGGCGCAGCATGAGTAGTACTAGATCTGTGAGCAGGAGTGTGGGGCTGGGGGACAGGTTGATGGTAGAGGAGGCTCTAGGAAGGGGAGCTGAAAAGTAGTTGGACATCTTCTGTTACTGAATCAGAAAGGAGAGAGAATTCTGTTTTCACCTTTGCCTTTCTTAATTTAATTATTTCACTTTAAACGTACTTTTTTTCTGTCCAGTTAGCTAGGAATCTGAAAATGTAGCTTTTTAAAATATTTTTGAGAATCTAATGAGATCCCCTTTATTCCCATTCTATATTCAGTCTCATGTATAACATTGAAAAAACACACTCATCTATCTTCTTAAAACTTTTATATTTTTATATCATTACTTTAGAAATATGTTTGTTTTTCTTCTTCTTATAATCCATCATTCCGTACAGAGTTAGCAACCAAAAGAAGTAAAAATGAAGACTCAAATAGAAGGCCAAATATATGTTGAATAATTGAAAAATTTAAATTTTTTATTCAACATGTGAGCATCAGTGATGGTCCATATGCCAATGAATTAACTTTAAATATTGTATCTATTATAGTTTCCCCAGAGTAAAACCACTCCTGTCTGCTATCCTTTGTTCTTAGGGTAAAAAAGCTTCAATCAAAGTTCAATCAAAAAAGTAACTACTGTAAGCGAAAGTTGAGGTACGCATATGTTTAACAGCAGGGCTAAATAGAACTTTAACACGTTTTTGTAATTCATTAAAACAATACTTGCTTAGAAGGGCAGTGTAGGGTGTTAGGCTTTTCAGAGTAGGATAGGCTATAGTAATTATTTCCTCTGTTTTTAGGTGGCTTTAGAGGTGGAAGAGGAGGTGGAGGTTTCAGAGGAGGAAGAGGTGGTGGTGGTTTCAGAGGTGAGTGGGAAAAAAAAAATCTTTGAATCACTAAATTTCTAGAATTTATATTATCTACCATTTAAAGTTTCTATTCAGTTTTATTTCTGTTTTCCCAGTATATAGAACACTATGGTGTTCTTGACGTTAGCCTATTTTATAGCTTTATTTTATGTCACTTTCTTGCTTTTCCCTTTGAAATTTTTCACCTAAGTCAACTTTGTTTTGCCATATTATTAATTTGAAAAATAAAAAATGTCATATGAATGTTAGTTAAATTTGGTAAATTGGTTTGCTAAACAATATAAGAACTAATGCTGAGTTTAAACTTGACATTTGGAATATTGTCCTCCTAAAATTCATTTTTCTGTAGACTTAATATTTTCATTTTCTCTTAATCAGGGAGAGGACATTAAGTGTAACAGTTGACAAAGAAACTTCCTGCATGATCTACTTCTATGGATCAGAAACTTGTTTCTTGAGCAAGCCTTGAAGTCTTCTTAAGACAGTGGAACTGAAATGTCAACACCATGCAAAAATGAGTGCAGCAGAATAGGCAATTTTGCTCTAAAAGAGTATGATAACAACAAGTATTTTCATGTTTTGTACAATGCTTGGAACTCTGTGGGTGCTTAATATTAATAAATGGACAATTTTCATTTGAAGCATACTTGGGATTTTTAAAATAAAGTGTTTTATTTCCTTAAGTTATATCGAGTTGTGTTTATTAAGCCAGAGTTAATTTTGAAGTTAATAGGAACAAGGAAGCTTAAACCCAGTGGATTGCAGATAGAAAAATGATTTGTTTACATATATAACTGACCTTTAAAAAAGTAGGTTAGTAGAACAGTACTTTAACATTATTTATAATTAACACCTCCTTTCAAAATCCTTGCCTTTTGTATATGAGAACATTAGCACCCTTTATTGCATTTCACTTTTGTACGTAAGTGATACATTCGAGTATTCTAAGCCTCATCCAAGTATAGCTTCTGTGCATCAGTCATGAAGCATGAAAAAGTAGTTTGTACTTAGCACACTCATAAACTGTAAAGCTTTTGTCTAAAGCAGATAAATTCAGAATTGTTTTTCTTTTCTTTAGTTCTTACAAGTAGAAGTAATTATTTCTGGAATATTTAAATGGATGCCAAAACAACGTAGAAAAGAAAATGAATATGAACCTGGGAACTGGAGAAAACTCAATTTTTGTTTTATTCTGCATACTGAATGCAAAAAACAAACAACCCAAAGCCAACCCTTAAAACCCCAATAACCCAGAGGTTTTTTTTTTAAAGGGAGAATTGCTTTTAGGTGTTATGTTAATTGCTTTAGGGTCATTTGAAAATATTTTGTTCTTGGAATACTGATGAGATTCACTCAAAGTATAAATAACTCTTCAGAGTATTAGTTTACATTTATAAAAATTTGAGTATGGGTATCTATAACATCTGGGACAGATTAACCTGTCCTTCATTTTCTATAGCTGGGAGAATCAAGGCAAAGGATTATCTTGTGTCCTTTCTTGCTGTGCCATTCTGTTATAAAATTAAATTAAGTGGGTAAATATAGCCCTCTAGTGGTTCTGTTCTATGCTTACAGTGTTAATGTTGGTGCATCCAGCATTTCCCCGAAGTTACTGATTTAAAATAAACATTGCAAAGAATCAGATTTTAGTAATACTACATGACAGAAGAAATATGGGGAGGGGGTGGTGAGGAAGGTGGTAGGAATGTTTTATTCTAACAATTTTCATGTTAGATTATAACCCATCTATAACCTACGTTTTGGGTTGTTAACAAGAAGTCCAGAATATTATAATTGCCTTGTATTGCATGAGATGAATGACTGAATCTAGATACTTGGCTGATATATTCTGTGACTTATTATTAGATAATTGTGCATACCAAAACATAGGGTAAATTAAGTGAGGTGGATTGTGAAATAAATCCAGCTGTATCAATGCTATGAAATACAGGCTATTAATAGGTTAGACTCAGGTTTACTGACCTGGAATTTATGATCTGGCTTTAGGAGAAAACATGTTACAGAATGATTTTTTATATGCATATCTCCCCATTTTTGCTTAAAAAAAAAAAAGTGGGAGAAACCTCAAATCCTAGTATGAATATATATTAGAGAAGATATACACCAAAAAAAATATTCTACCTTTAGGGGAGTGAGATTTGGAAGGATGGAGGGAGACTACTTCTTTATGTCTGATTATTCAGATTGTTCTGGAAAAAGAAATGGAAACGGAAAAACTTGAACGGCTCAACAGAAAGTAGGGTCCTTAACCTGAATAGTTGTAGCTGACCAAGGCTGGTTCTTAATTTCAGAACAGATTTCCAGCAGCAATCAGTTAAGTCAGCTCCTGCACTGATTTTGAATTTGTTTGTTTGAATGGGATGTGTGCACTTGATAATCTCCTTAGATACTAGGCTGATGCCCAAATTGTTTAAGATGTGTGGTGCTTGGTATTTCTCTTTATTTTGCTAATAAGCTTTCCCCTTGTTCTGGGAATTAAAATCCTTTCCCTAGCCCAATTAAATTTGGTAAGGGAGGGCCTCCATGAAAAGGGCCTTCTTTGAGGTCTTTGAGTGGAAATGATTGGTTCTGAAAATTCTTCTTCACCGGCTCTTAAAACATTCCATAATCATTGAAGGCTCATTATGAAGGCTGTCTCAATTTCTTTCCTCCAAAATGCTAAGGAATACTTTAGAAAACAGTTCAGACTCTAAAAATGAAGATGGCTCAGTCTTTTCACAGACTGAACACAATATTGTTGCAGCGTACTTGATCACAGCAGGTATGGATGCTTGCTCCATTAACTGTTACTTTGCTTTCGAATGGGTGATGAAAAACAGAGTTTTTCAGCATAAGGCAGTAGAGAAAAGTATGGGATTGGAGATGTTTCAAGTCCCTTATCTTTTCTGAGTTGGGGTGCTCATGTGGGCAATAAGGATGATACTACTTGCCATGTTTCCTGGCTGTAGAGTAATAAGAGAACGTGGGTTAAAGGATAAATGAAGGCATTGTTAATGGTGGCTAATGCCACACAAGTTAATTTTGAATCCTGATAAACAATGTGACAGTGGTGAAGTGGGGCTGAGAAAATTTTTCTATAAAATGAATATTTTTTAAAATAATCATCCATATATTTGGTTATTACATTGTCAAATTAAGGCTTTATTGGGGAAGAGTGTGTACCATGGCAAAAATATATTTTTAGGTCATTTACTATTCTCCTACATCCTCTCTGTCATCTTTTCTTTGGTGGCAGAATCTAATTAAGATTCTGGGAAATCTAATTAAGGTCCTGGAAGGAAAATTAAAGTTATAAAAAGGGAGAGCAGACTGTATTGTCGTTGAAGACGGTGAAAATTCAGCTCATTCCCAGAATGCTGTGTTGGAAAACTCTTGTGCTTTGGATTTCATCTTTTAGTATCTTTGCAACAGTGAGCAAATTCCATCAGCTTTTTGTTCTTCCATTTTCTTACCTTAAAACAGGGTAAGAAGAAGATAGTGTCATGATTGTTGTGAAGAGTAAAACTGAATGACTTAAATGACAGACAGTAGTTGGACACATGTGTTTCTTTCTTCTCATATGCACAGTCATTGATGTATATTGGATTAAGAGAAAGGTGTTTACTGAAAGAGGGATGGGGAAATTACAGTAGAAGTTGTCTCATCTTTTTTAGGTATAGGTTGAATTGTATCAATTTTATACTAAGCAGTCACTTCATTCCCAACTTTATGCTCAGTAATGAGTTTTAGAAGTAACTCTGTACATTGGGTTGTTATCATCTTTTGGATTGACATGAAAATTTTCAAATATGTTTAAAAGTGGAACAAAAAGTATAACATCCTATGGTATTCAGTTTATTCTTTATAATTGCTTAGTTTCCCTATAATTTATAATTACTTTAGTATTAGAAATTATCATCCCTCAGATAATTTTTGTAAATTTTAGTACTATGCTAGCTTGTTCATTCGAATACCTCTGTATAATAAGTATTGGACATGTTCTATTTCCTTTTTGATTCTTCTGTTGTTGAAACAATATGAGAATAGAATATGCTAATTAAAGAGAAAATCATCACAATTACATAGAAATACTTTGTATATAAACTTTTGGCTTAGTTTTTTATAGATAATCAAGAAAAGCTATCTTTTAAAAAAATTTTTTTAATGTTTTATTTATTTCTGGGAGAGAGACAGTATGAGCAGGGGAGGGTCGGAGAGAGAGGAAAACACAGAATCCGAAACAGGCTCCAGGCTCTGAGCTAGCTGTCAGCACAGAGCCTGATGTGGGGCTCGAACCCATGAACCGTTGAGATCATGACCTGAGTCGACGTCGGACGCTCAACCGACTGAGCCACCCAGGTGCCCCAAAAAGCTATATTTTTTTATCTGTTTATAAAAAATAGCATGCAAAGAAAATTTCTTGTTAAGAAATTGTTCTCTCTGGTTCTTGTTCCCATAGCGGTAACAATAATAGTAATCTCACTACAACTACAAAGATGACCACCACCACCACTACTACTGCTACTGTTATTTGAATTTTAGCACTGTTCTACTGACTGGTATAGAATAATTCATCCTTACACTAAGTCAGTCAGTAACTTAGTTTTATTTTCCCTGTTTATATAGACAAAGAGTTTAAGTAACTTGTCCACACAAATCTACTAAGTAGCTACACCAGGATTTGAAGTCAGACATTTTGGTTCTAGAGCCCTCACATGTTAACCTCAAGGATCAGTTTCTGTTTTTTTAAAAATTTTTAATCTTTAAAGTTCATTTATTTATTTTGAGAGAGAAGAAGAGCAGATATACGAACTGAGAAGGGGCAGAGAGAGAGAGAGGGAGAGAGAGAATCCCAAGCAGGCTCTGGATTGTCAGTGGAGACCACGATGCAAGGACTAAAGAGCGGCCCCTGGCTGGCTCATTAGGCAGAGCATGTTGCCTTTGATTGCGGGGTTGTGAGTTCTACCTGCATGTTGGGTGTAGAGATTACTTAAAAATAATATCTTAAAAAAATAAAAATAGAGCCAAAGAATCGTTAAATTTGCTCTCATAGTGCCTTACTTATGCGTTGGAGGAATAATAGAAATTAAGGTGAGTTTTAGTTTCTGTTTTATTAAATAAATCTACTTTAATAAATCTTCTGTTTATTAAATAAATCTACTATATGCCACATACTCATAGAACACAGAAGTCATTAGGAGCCTGAAATCTAGACAGGAATACTAGGAATATATAAAAGGTAAAGGATATATCATCACACAAGATTAATAATGTATGATATAAGCAAGCACTTCGAGAATTTAGAGAACAGAGAATACTGTGGGTAGGGGAAGGCACTAGTACAGAACTGGGCTTGAATAGAACTTTGAAGGATAGATAGAACTTGATTGAATAGGTAGAGGAAAAAAGTAGGGTGGGCTTGTTTTGACAAGTGGGAAAATTTGCTTAAAGAAAATGAAAACCGATCAAGGCAGTAACTGGAATATCAGGTTGGGACATGTGGGCTTTTATCCCACAGCCAACAGAGGAGAGTATTGAGAAGTCCTGAGAAGAAACAATTCTATGTTGTAGCAAGCTTATTCTGCCCCAGCGAGGAGGGGAAAGAACAGGAATCTGGAAAATTAGTGTAACAAGATGCTAAAAGGAAGTTTTGAATGAGGGTGCCAAGAAGTTCTTCAGCTGATACTTTTGTGTATTGATGCTTGGAAACCTTCCCTCACTAGAATTGCTGGGGGACTATGCACCAGTTGTACTCTTCAGGATGGTGAATACAGCTCTATTTCATTGCTTACCCCTCCTTTAGCCCCTAGGAATCTGGGGCTCTAGCCTCTCTCAGCCAAAATCTACTCATCCCCCACCGCCACTGTTTGGACCTGGTATGACCCACATCTGGGATATTTATACATCCTTTGCAGAAGGTAGAGGTTGTGGGTGCCTGGGTGGCTCAGTCAGTTAAGCGTCCGACTTCGGCTCAGGTCATGATCTCACGGTTCACGGGTTTGAGCCCCGTGTCAGGCTCTGTGCTGACAGCTAGCTCAGAGCCTGGAGGCTGTTTCAGATTCCGTGTCTCCCTCTCTCTGACCCTCCCCTGCTCACACTGTCTCTCTCTCTCTCTCTCAGAAATAAATAAAACATTAAAAACTAAAAAAAGAATGTAGAGGTTGTTAATCAGGCTAACATGCGTGTCTGGTCCACTCAACAATATTACTCATTGTATATTAACACACGGCCATTCTGATTATGTTCAGTCATCTATCTACCTAAGTCCAGCCTGTTCCAGGCCATTGACAACAATTGAGTTTGTGGACCTGCAAGGCTAAGAGTCAGATCCCAGTCTATGGAAATTTGACTAGGGTGCTATCACCTGTGAAGCTTCACAATGTACCTAAAAGCCAGCTTGACTTCCTTTTTGGATAGGCAAACCTTACAGTGTGCATTCTACAGGGGTGTATGTTGGATGAAGACCTCTGATTTGGACATGTTGAATTTCAAGAAATATTGGCACAGTCATATGATCTTATACATGGTAGATCTCTAATAAATGTTTAATGACAAGGAGTTGAAGGAAAAGGGATATGGAACTGCAGCATGTGTCACTGCTAGAACGTGACAGAATAGCCGTTAGGACAGAATGATAGTTGAGGCTTGAGAAAGGAAACTTGACAAAGAGAAAGCTTCAGGCCTTAGGAAGGAGGAGGAAGAAGTTAGACTGCTAAAAGAGATGGTACGGTCATCCATATATCTTAAAAATCAGCAGGGGTGGTATCATGAAAGATAAGAGGAATTTCAAAGGAAGAGTGATTAACAGTTAAAATCCACCTTCAGTGCAATTGGTAAATTCTTTGTTATTTTATTGATTCTATTGCACAGAAAGGCTGTGAATATATTACAAACAGTTTTAAGAACAGTTGAAGCTCCTCAAAGAAATGAACTAAAATGGATTTGCTATTTGAAGGAGCTTAGATATTTAATTTTGATACTACTTTTAAACATTTAAGTTAAACAAAGTGATTTTTTTTTTATATGTTCTCAGGTATGATAAGTATTCTCAGCAACATAATAGTTCTGGGCATCTTCATTAAGTACAAGGAACTTCGGACTCCCACAAATGCAATTATCATTAACCTGGCTGTTACTGATATAGGGGTCAGTAGCATTGGATATCCCATGTCTGCAGCTTCAGATCTGTATGGAAGTTGGAAATTTGGATATGCAGGATGTCAGGTATTGGAGATCCTTTGGAATGCAAGCAAAGTAAAATAGATTAAAGAGATGTAAATTTAAATGTCTAAAAAAAATTCCCTAGGGTTTCAATCAAATAAGATCATGTAGGATAATAGGTAAAGTGCTCTTATTGAAGAGAGCTTCAGGAGTGACTGGGAAATATATTCTTTAATAAGAGAAATGACCTTGGTAGCAATCATTATGTTTTTGAAATTTCCCCAACCTAAAGGAAAATTTTTTAAAAATTAGCATTCAACTAGAGAAGAAATATAAAAATTTGCATATTCAAAAAGAAATATCCTATCTTCATTTGAAACAATGAAATATTTAATGGCAGTATCATAATATCTAAGGAATGTAGTTAAGCTATCAGTTTTTCTCCCCTATGGAAAGTCCTCCAATGGAATTGCTAAATTCCATTAAAAATAATTTTTTAATGATAAGAAAATATAGAAATATTAATTTGCATATCCTAGTGGGCAGACATGACTTTTGCCCTGATTTTTAAGAGCAGTTTACTATTTTAAAAATAGTTTAAAAATTTAATTTTTAAATTAAATTTTAATTAATTTAAATTTAAATTTATTAATCAACTTTAAATTTAAATTAAAAACAGTTTGCTACTTTACAGAGTTTAAAATTTTAATCTTAAAATTATAAAATTATAGAGAATAAAATGAGAGTAACAGAATAATGAATACTCATGTGTGTACCATCTAGTTTGGTCAGATCTTAATGTTGTGCAATATGTGCTTCAGGTTGTTTTGGTTTTTAAAGATATAAAACTTGAGAAATACTGTTGAAGGCCATTGCACACCATCCCCAATCACATTCCCTTCTCTCCCGTGAATGTTTTTCTGTCTTCGTACATATTTAGGTGCACATAAACTAAACTGCCCGGATATTTTAAATTCTGTATAAATAATGTTTGTGTTACACAATCTTATAGGAGACTATGTTTTTGAGATTTATCCATATTGACGGATACAGTTGGAAGTCACTCATTTTAACTGCCACACGATATTCCATTTTATGAACATACCTCAATGTACTTATTTTTCTGTTATTGAGCATTTATTCCCAATGTTTTTCTTTCACCAACAAGGCTTCAATAAACATTTTTATACACCTATAATATGTGAGAGGTTCTTTAAATATATTGGTTAGGAGAGGGATGGTTGGGTTGTAGAGAATATTTATCTTCAACTTCATTAGATGTGCCCAAATTGCTCTCCCAAATGGATATGCCAATTATTAGAACGTCTGTGATTCTACATTCTCCTCAATGCTTGGGACTATCAGACTTTTAATTTTTTTTCATCATTTTGGTGGGTATAAAATTGTATCTTATAATTTGCACTTCTTTGAATACATATTGAGATTTACATCTTATGTCATAAATATTTAGGTTCCCGCTTGTGTGAATCATTTTTCTGTTTTTCTTTTCTCCTTGTTGAATTGTTTGTCTTGTAAACACTAGTATTTTGATGGTTATATGCATTGCACCTAATTTATAGTTTGTTTTTTACTCAGTTAATAGAGTATGTTGTATAGAAGTATTACTTTAGCTCTTAAAAATTTAAAAAGTTTATTTTAATTGATGAAGTCCTAAAGCACTTTCCATAAATGCCTTTACTAAACTAGTTACAATATGACAATGGAAAATGTATTTAAATTATTAAAATAAAAAACACTCAATGTATCTAAAATATATTCTAGCACTGGAATTAAAATGTAAATATCTCTTGCGAGGGTGTGTAGAATGGTGGATTCTTTCCAATTTTGATTTTTAGGTTTATGCTGGGTTGAATATCTTTTTTGGAATGGCAAGTATTGGATTACTCACGGTTGTGGCCATGGATCGATACCTGACTATCTGCAGTCCTAACACAGGTATAGCACTTCTCTCAACTTTCTCAGTGAAAGGTACTTCCTGCCTAAGTATCACTCAACACACATTCACTTTAAAATATAAATGTAAAAAAATTTATATGTGTGTGTACATATATACATATATATATGTATGTATGCAAAGTGTTATGATCATGATCAGTCTTATTCTTCTGACAACCCTTGTCCAAAAGTTTCAATGATTTCCTATTATAATTAGAATAAAATCCAAATTGCATAGCACAGCCTCGAAAGGTCTGTGTGCTCTGGCCCCTGGCTATCTTTCCAGTTTTAGCTAGGGCCTCCCACTTTGGGGTACTGGCCAAGGACTTTCCCACTTTGAGATCTTTGTAAATACCATCTCCCTAGGCCTGGGGAGTATTTCTCCCTGCTTGTCCTTTGGCTGGTCCTTTTTATCATTTCAGGTTCTGGCTTAAATGCCATTTTCTTTTCTGAATATAAATTCACATAGATAGGCTCTGAGTGAACTAAAGTGCTTTACAAAGAATATACTTGACCACAACTTTGCATAATTAGTTAAAACAAAGTGGAGGTATGAATTCATCATTGGCAAATGATGCTAATATTTCATCTGTTTGTTACTAGGAAGAAGAATGACCACCAACGCTTACATCAGCATGATTCTGGGGGCCTGGCTCAATGGTCTCTTTTGGGCTTTGATGCCTATCATAGGGTGGGCTAGCTATGCCCCAGATCCTACTGGGGCTACTTGTACCATAAACTGGAGGAAAAATGATATGTAAGAGACATAATTACACTCTATAATCAAATATTTCTTTTTTTTAATATATTTTTTTAAATGTTTTATTTATTTCTAGGAGAGAGAGAGAGAGACAGTGTGAGCAGGGGAGGGTCAGAGAGAGAGGGAGTCACAGACTGAAACAGTCTCCAGGCTCTGAGCTGGCAGTCAGCACAGAGCCCGACGCGGGGCTCAAACCCACGAACCGCGAGATCATGACCTAAGCGAAAGTCGGACGCTTAACCGACTAAGCCACCCAGGCGCCCCTATAATCAAATATTTCTAATGTGGACATTTTCTCACCATTTCAAATTTAAGGTCAGGTCAAATACTTTCCAATCAAAGTATGGCAAAGTGCTTCCTTGGTGGTGATGTGAATCTAGCATTGAATTATGCTTGTTTGCATGTAAAGGCCATCCAGCTCCCTTGTTCCCCTTACCTTCTTCATCCTCTCTTCTGGCACCAGAAGTGGGTACACAAGCACCCACTCGGTATTTGTAACTCAGAGGTAGAATCAGAAAGAGAAAGGGGAGTGTTAGTATCCTTAGACAGCATGCAGTTCTTCTGAAAGCCCAGGCTGAGTCCCTACTGTCTTCTCAAGATGGTCTGGTGATAAAGCAGAAATTATACAGCAAAACCAGTCACTGTAAGGATTTGCTTGTTTGTTAGTGTTGCTTCTCTATATTTACCAGGAAGAAGAGGGTAAGTAAGAAAATGAAAGATTACTCAGAAAAACAAGAAGAAAATTTCCGAATCTAAATTTAAGACTTTTTCTCTAAAGGGGTGAAAGTAAATATTTTTATGCTTTACAGGCAAGATTGTTTCTGTTTTAATTGTTCAGGCCTGTCTGTGAAAGCAGCCATAGACAGCAGGTAAATGAATATAGTTCCAATAACATTTAATTTACGAAGACAGATGGCAAGGCTGGGTGTGGCCCATAGGCTATAGTTTGCCAATTCCTAGTCTAAAGGAATTAGTTAGATATCCTTCCTAAGCTATTTAATAATACAGTGAGTGTTGAACAGTGCCAGTATTATTTTTCATAACTGTCCTATTTCCTTTGTCCTATTTAGCACATTATACAAGTAGTGATTTAATGATTTCCTTTTCTTATTTTCAGATCTTTCATTTCTTTCACAATGACAGTTATTGTGATAAATTTTATTGTACCCTTGACAGTGATGTTTTACTGCTATTACCACGTCACTCAAACCATTAAATGTCATAATACTAGTAACTGCAGTGGATACCTCAACAGAGATTGGTCAGATCAGGTAGATGTGACAAAGGTAAGATTAAAATCCTTAAAATGTTTTTGCAACGGAGCTTTTACACATATGTAGTCTATATTATAGTCACCTCTCCCCAACATTTGATTCTTATTCCCTGGCTCTCTTTCTTGTGTTTGCCTCCATATTTCCTATTTTTTTTTTTTTTTAAGAGAGAGACAGAGTGCAAGTGGGGGGAGGGGGAGAGAGCACACAGAATCCGAAGCAGGTTTCAGGCTCTGAGCTGTCAGCACAGAGCCCCACTCTGGGCTCGAACCCATGAACCAGGAGGTCATGACCTGAGTCAAAGTTGGATGCTTAATGGACTGAGCTACCAGGTGCCCCTGCCTCCATATTTCTAAATGATATGTTTATTTGCTGTTTTGATATTTTTATTTGCTATTACTCTTGATTTCCTACTACAGAAAATGAGAATTTATTTCTCTTATCTTTCTTACTTCTCCACCCCAACCTTTCTCCTCATCTTGCCAGTATAATGTTAATATTTGGTTACATTATTTTACATTGTTGTAACTACCTAAATGTTTATTACAAACAAATGTTCTTTGATTTGTATTTTTCTTAATAAATATTTTTCTCTTGGGGTTAATAATTCTTTCATTTTCTTTTTTTTTCTTTTTTTAATTTTTTTAATTTTTTTTATTTTCAAATAGTTTATTGCCAAATTAGTTTCCACATAACACTCAGTGCTCATCCCCAAAGTGCCCTCCTCCATGCCCATCCCCCCCCTCCCCCCCACATCCATCAGTCCTCAGTTTTTGTCAGCATTCAAGAGTCTCTCATGGTTTGCCTCTCTCCCTTTCCCCCACCATCTATACCATGGAATACTACATGGCAATGAGAAACAATGAAATCTGGCCATGTGTAGCAACATGGATGGACCTTGAGGGTGTTATGCTGAGCGAAATAAGTCAGGCAGAGAAGGACAAATACCATATGTTTGCACGTATAGGAGGATTAGGAGGGCGGAAATTCTTTCATTTTCTTTCTTTCTCTTCCTCCCTCCTCTTCTCTGTCCCCTCTTCTGACCCCCATCTGTCCCACCTCCACTCCTCCAGTTGTTCTCTGTAACTGTTGCCAATTCATCTCTTAACTCACCACCAGAAGTGCCAATGTCCTCTCAATATTTTCAAATGCATCGGAGACTAATTGACTTCATCCTTTTTATTTTTTGGGAACAGTCCCTCTTGGCACTTCCAAGCGTCCTGCTTACACTGGCCCTTCTCTAAGACCACGGCCAGCATCTTCAGATCTCTTTATCACCAAGTAGGAATGCCTTTGGCCTCTTTCCTGTGTTGAATCATCTGTTTTCTGGCTTGCATGCCTTCCTTTTTCTTGGCTATTCTCTCTCATTTGGTGGAGCACATTCTCAAGTAGATTTCTGAGAAGGTTATAGGGAGATACATTTTAAAGATTTTGTTGCCTGAAAAAGTCTTAATTCTATGTTCATATTTGACTGTTCGCCTTCTATGGAATTTTAAGTAGAAAAATGATTTTCAAAGAGTTTTGAAGGCATTGCCCTAGAGCCTCCTAGCTTCCCGTGTTGCTATTGCCCTAGAGCCGCCTAGCTTCCCGTGTTGCTATTACGAAGGATGACAGCGTTCTGGTGACAGTCCCTTTGTAGTGATCTATGCATTCTCTCTGGAAGCTTGAAGGATCATTTCTGTGTCTCTAATTTTCTGGAATTTCATGCTGATGTGCCTTGATGGGACTTTTTATTCACCTATGTGCTGGGTACTTGATGAGTGCTTCCAATATGAAGACTCAGGTCTTCCCCTTCCGGGAGACTTCTTGTATTATGTCTCTGGTGATTTCCTCTCCCTGTTCAGTTTTTTGCTGTTCTCTTTTTCTGGAAGTCCTTCTAATTTTCTTAAAAATTTCTCTCCTATGTTGTCCCTGTCTTGGGCTTTGTGTTTGTTTCTTTCTGAGAGATTTCCTCAACCATGTCTATGTCTGGGATTGACTGAGAAAAGTGAGGCTCAAGACTTGGGCACAAAGTTTAATCAGGCACCACAAAATTCAGTAATACCCCCCAAAAGTAGTTAATGTAGTATTTTTTTTTTAAAAAAAAATTAATGTCAGAAACCCATATTGAACAAAATATAAAATTTTAAATAAACATAGGATGTCACCCTGCCGTTGCATGACTCACCTCATTACCCCAGTCTTGGCTAACCACACTGTTCGACCTTCCTATTGAATTTTAAAAATTCTCCTGTTTCTTTCATAGATAGGGCATAGGAGAAAATCCATTTCATAAAAAGAATTATTTTACCCCTCTACTCCTTTCTAATAGCTTCCTCTTCTTGTTTTATGGATATATATCTTCTCTCAATTCTCTCATTTATATTCATTACATATTTTTTGTTTCCTCTGAATTTCTGCACCAGTTTTTCGTTTCTTTTTAGAAAAAGAATTATTATTGAAGTACAGTTGACATACAATGTTGTATTAGTTTCAGGTGTACAACACAGTGATTCAATGATTCTCTACATGACACAATGTTCACCACAATAATTGTGGTTGTTACTATCTGTCACCATAAAATGTTGTTACAATATTATTGACTGTGTTCCCTATGCTGTACTTTCATCCCTATGACTTATTTTACAACTAGAAGTTTGTACCTCTTAATCCTCTTCACCTATTTTGCCCATCCCCCTATGTTCCTCCCCTCTGGCAATTACCAGTTTTCCATATTTATGGGTCTATTTCTGTCTTTCTGTCTGTTGATTTGTTTTGTTTCTTAGATTCCACATTTAAGAGGAATCATATGGTATTTATCTTTTTCTGTCTGACTTACTTCACTTAGCAGAGTACCCTCTGGGTCCATCCACGTTGTTACAAATGGCAAGGTTTCATTCTTTCTACGGCTAAGTGATATTCCATTGTGGTGTGTGTGTGTGTGTGTGTGTGTGTGTGTGTGTGTGTTTATGTATATACATAATATATATATATATACATTATATAGATACACACAGACACACACACACACACACATAAACACACACACACACACACACATATACACCATTTTTGTCTCTGCCCGTCAGTTTGTTTCCTCAGTGTCTGGTGGTCAGTGACTGTCTCCTGCATATTTAAAAGTGATGCACTAAAAAGCTGATTGTAAGCTCATCACTGGGATGTTTCCTTGGGGGAATTTCTGACGCTTTGTATCTCCAGGTATTTTTTTCTGGGCTGGTCAGTTTCCAAGGAGATTCTTTCATGTTCCTTAGTGGGAAGCACAAGTCTGTTTCCCATATTCTTGTGGCTCAGAGCAGGGAGGGAATGGCGGGTAGCACCTCTTTCCAGTACAGTGCTCCAGCTCTCCGCTAAGCCCAAGGTCCTATAGTTTCCTCCCTTTTAGGCTGAACCTCTGGGATTCTTCTGGGGAGATGATGGGGCAGTCACATGGCAGAGTGGTAAGGGGATTCAGAAGTCTGTCTGTTTTTGCAGATTTCAGTGAGTTCTATTTTAAGTTCCATGTGCTGCCCTACATTCAGAGCTAGCTGTCACCTCCAATTCCGGGGACTTTCTGAAGTTCTGTGGAATGGATTAGTCTGTATTTCATGTTCCCTCACTGACGGCACTTAAAAATTTTTTTTAATTTATTTTTAAATTATTCTTATGTCTGATAAATAATTTACTTCTTGTCCAATGGTTATTCAGTTTTAATTATTACAAGGTTATTGTCTAATCTGTGATTCTCAAACCTTATGGGTTTAGATCTTTTTAAACTTCTTTCTATCATTTTAGTGGGCAATCAATAAGGAATAATGTAAAAATTATACTTTTTTTATTAAAGGAGATGCAAGGGGAGCTGTTTTACAAAACTGTCTGCACTATACATCTATGTGGAGCTCCTGTATTACAATACAATGAACTCAGTATAGGAGTTTGGGTTTTTCCAGATTGAATTTAGAAAGTTATTTTTTATATTAGCAGATAATGACAGTGAGGGGAAAAAGCACAATACCAGCAGTCCCTAGTACAATTACTAGAAATGGGTTTTATGTGCCTTTCATTAAAGCCAGCTTTTGTATTCTTCCCTAGCACACCCAAAGAAAGAGGACATTCTTTACATTTGTATAACATTCTATTCATTTAACAGGTTCTTGTTATCATAGAGGATTTTAGGCACACAAACAAAGTACAAACGAAATTTGGAAAAATTCAGTTTTTGGGGTGCCTGAGTGGCTCAGCCAGTTAAGCATCCTACTTCAGCTCAAGTCATGGTCTTGTGGTTCATGAGTTCAAACCCCATGTCAGGCTCTGTGCTAATGGTTTGGAGACTGGAGCCTTTTTCAGATTTTCTGTCTCTCTTTCTCTCTCTTTCTCCCTCCCCTTTCCCCACTTGCTCACTCTATTGTTCTCTCTCAAAAATAAATAAAACATTTAAAAATTTAAAAAAAATAAAAGAAAATATTTCAATATTTTAGATATTGGATTTGCCACGTACTGATTTATTTTTCAGATGTCTGTGATAATGATATGTATGTTTCTGGTGGCATGGTCCCCTTATTCCATCGTGTGCTTATGGGCTTCTTTTGGTGACCCAAAGAAGATCCCTCCCTCAATGGCCATCATAGCTCCACTATTTGCAAAATCTTCTACATTCTACAATCCCTGTATTTATGTGGTTGCTAATAAAAAGTAAGTAATGTCTAAAATGCTTTTAAATAAAAAAGATATAGAAAGAATGTTTGAAAAATTTATGGTGGGAGAGGAAAGGGACAGAAATTCACTTCAAACTAGTGTAAAAATTATTTGGCTCATGCAACTGGAGAAGCATCTAGGCCCTAAAATGCTTAGGGCTCCAGTTCTATGAGAGCCTCTTCCCACATGGAGGCGAGATGGTTACAGCAACACACAACACACATTCTACCAGCTACGCATTTCCAAATTCGAGTTTCATCTCAGATGGCTCCCTGGCAGAAAAGCTGCTGGAAGGTGTTAGTAGGCTCAGCTTGGTTCTCATGATTACCTCATCCCAAATTCATGGAATTGATTTTCCAAAGAAAAGAGTGGTTCTATTACCAGAAAACAGACAAGGTGAGGAAGGCAACACTGAACTCCATAACTGGGTAGCATAGTTGTATATTAGGACAGAAGATATTCAAATGCAAGGGAAAAACCCAGTGCTAAAGTAAAAGGACTTCAGGGGTGGAAGGACTTCAGATAATAAAGACTCTTCCCCCTTGTTGGGACTCAGCAAAGATTTCCTTCTGTCTCCTCCGTGAAGCTTAGATTATTTTATTTCCTATTACTGTGGAAAGTTGGGATAATTAATTTCTTGTCCTTAAATATTTGATCAGAAAGGTCTCAGTAGAGGTCAGGTAATTTGATCCTGGAATGCCAGTGCTGCTTCTATTAAACTTACATATTTATGCACATGTTTGATAGAGCAGCTTTAGCTACAGGAATACAGAGAAACAAAAACTTTTAAGAGCAAACAGACCACATAAGAATAACGAACACATTTTTATTTATTTTGAGAGAGAGAGAGTGCACATGCATGCACAAGTTAGCAGAGGAAAACCAGAGAAATAATCTCAAGTAGGCTCTTGGCTGTCAGCGCTGAGCTTGACACAGGGCTCTATTTCATGAACTGCGAGATCACGACTTGAGTAGAAATCAAGAGTCAGAGATTTTTCCTTTAACTTGGAATAGCATTATTTATTTACTTATATTTTAAATTATAATCTATTTTCAATTTGGTTTCCATGTAACGGCCCAGTGCTCATCCAAGAGTGAGAGGTTTAACCAGCTGAGCCACCCAGGTGCCCCAGGAACACATTTTAAATTCAGAGCCTACTGGTAGTTCTTTTGGAAAAATTAGTAATTTTCAAGCTCCCCTTAATTTCAACTGGCCTTTGCTCAGAAGAGCAAATGCATGAAATATACATCCTTGGTTCAGGTAAACTGTAATTGACATTAGAAGTGTCATCTTAAACAGGCATAACTATTGATTTGTATTAAATGCCTTCAAAATTTATAATCAATGGTGTAAAACTGGTCTTTAACTGTGCCATATACTTTATACATTTATGAATGCTTTTAACAGGAGACGATAAAGTTGGAGGCAGAAATTTATTTGGAGATGTCAATTAGCAGTAATGGCATCTTAGCCATATTTAAAAATGCTTTAAAAGTTCCAAGTCATTATAGGATAATGCCAGTTTTCCCCTTTTTTACTGTAGATTTCGGAAGGCGATGTTTGCCATGTTCAAATGTCAGAGTCACCAAGCTATGCCCGTGACAAGCATTTTACCAATGGATGTATCTCAAAACCCACTGACTTCTGGAAGAAAGTAAAATAAGAGAAAAAGCACACAGTATCAAAATATTTTATTTACTTTTTTCTCCAGTAGTTTGGTTTTATTTTAAATATGATCCTGTTTGTATCAGATACATAGATTATTGTCCTATCAGACCCTAAATTCCTCAAGTGTAGCTCCTAGTTCTTTTGTTTGTGGGATGGCTACTGTAGTGAATGTTTCTGACTTTGTTTTTATATGCATTCTATCAGTTTTAAATAAAACTTTCTATAATATTCTTGCTTTTATAGAATTTCCTTTTTAAAAAGTTTTTTGGTTTAAAGATGATTGATAGAACCACCCAATACTATAGCAAGATTAAATTAAATATATATGATATATGTATGTCATCAGGGAAGGCCTATCAATACACACACACATGCACACACATGAACTAAATCCATGACTATCAATTGTCCTTGAGGATTTTTCGTCTTATGAGAATGGAGGTAGTTTTTAATTATTGAATTTAATTTTTGTTGTCTGATAGAGCCTAATTTTGCTAAAAGACATGGATCTTCAGATCTGGCTTGATGCCCATAACTTGGGAAACTAATTTAGAATAAAACATATTCTTGAACCAAGATAACGGCCTTCATTACAAACAAACATGCTGGGATAAACCGTACACTGCAGTGGGAGAGCTGCAGGACACAGTCTCACCAGAGCCTGGGTCCTGCTACTCAGTGGGGGATTGAAGCATTTTGCCTAAAAAATCTAGGTACTGGATTTTGTTTACTTTGTTTTTGGAGATCACAAATACAAAAACTAAAATTTATAATGTTATATAAATAAGCTGCGGTATTTTTTAGCACCCCTAAAACATTGAAATGTTTTTTTTAACATTAAGTGTATCTTCAAGGTATAGTAGCAATTACATTCATAGGAAAGGACTTAATAGCCATTTCCTTGCAAATCTGGATATGGGCAACTATTGGCATTTTTTTAACATGTGCTTGATTTTCATTTTCCTTGGAGTGTGTTACTTCGCTGAAACCATATTCAAAACCTAGGTCAATTGATCCCCTGTAAAATACACTTGAAGGTTAAGTAACTACAGATCTCAGCTAATCCTATCTAATCTGCTGTTACTAAATGGCTGTTTGCATTCCTGGCACACCAGTGTCTGAAGCTAAGGATTTGGTTTTTACTTTTTGTTCAAATAACCTCTAAAAGGAGCGATGCGTCTTTCAGCATGTCTGTGCATTGTGCTTATTAGCTTTTTGGAGGGAGTGAGCTGTTCTTGTCCTTCACAGTGCACCTGCGATTATCATGGCAGAAATGACGGCACAGGATCAAGGTATGCTCCTCTCCTTGCTACTAAGTATTCTAATGATTCTGAGGAAAAGGACTCCAACTAGGCAGCCTTATTTTGAAAGGCTTGTTGCCAGGTATCAGAGGAGAGAGGGTTTAACTTACATAAGCTTTAACTTAATTTTTTTAATGCCAGGTCGGCTACTCCGTTGTTTTCATTTTGTGCAATCTAGCTCTTAAAACGCTCTCAAACTGAGACTCTTGTGTTATAAATATATTCATTGTACTGGTATTCACAACATGTCCCTTTCAGGAGGTCAAACCACTGAAATGTGTGTGGCCAGCTCAGTTTGTTTACAGAAAGCATGAGAGGGAGGGCCAAGCAGGAGGTACTTGACATGCCCAGAGTATTTGCCTCCCTGATGTCCCATTTCACATGGGGGTTATTCATGCCAACTGGATATACCTTAAAAAGTAGGAAGGAAGATCACAACAGTGAAGTTAGAGATATTCACAATTAGACTTTTTCATTTTAAGGTATTGGAGTTTACAAAGAAAAGGAGTTCCAAAGATACAGATCAACCTTGTCTATTGCAGACACTGGGGGGTGGGGGGTGGGGGGCGCTCATGGAGTTAGTTAATCTCTGGGTTGCTTTAACATCTGCTTGCGGAGTGAGAATAATTACTTATAATATAGTGAGTCCTTTGAGATAAAAGCTAAATGCAAACCAGAACTCTTGTTAGCTAACCATAGTAGAACTTGATTTTTTGGGGGGAGGATATTTAATAACCACCAGAGTATGTTGTGGCTCGGTTGAAGTGAACAGTGAGCCTCTCATTGAAAATGATTAGTGAAAAGAATCGTCCAATATACGTCTTACAAATTTATTTTTTAATTTTTATTTTTATTTTTTAATGTTTATTTATTTTTGAGAGAGAGACAGAGTGCCAGCCGGGGAGGGGCAGAGAGAGAGAGAGGGAGGCACAGAATACGAAGCATGCTCCAGGTTCTGAGCTGTGAGCACAGAACCTGATGCAGGGCTCAAAGCCATGAGCTGCGAGATCATGACCTGGGCAGAAGTGGGGTGCTTAACTGATGGAGCCCCCAGGCGCCCCTATCTTGAAACAATAAGTAAAACACATTATTGAGTAATTTGTTTTGTTACTGTTTGAACTTTACTTAACCAACGTTTTGCATCTTTTTGGGTGGATTAAGACAAGAAAAGAATGTAACAAATTAAAGACCTACTTGGCAAAAGATATGAAGCAGTTAATAACTCTGGGCAGGATACTTTTGAGAAAACAGTCACAGAAATGTTTTTCCTTCCATGATAACCCCATTATTGATGCATTTTATAAAAACCATTGCATATTATGCCTGGCAAGGACTCTAGAAATAATCAAGTTTGACTGCTGTCATTTTATAAACAAAGATACACAATCATACAGAGATTAAATGATTTGTCCAAGGTCACAGCACTGAGCTGATGCAGTGACTGGTTGATAAAGATGCTATGTCTTTCAGCTTCCTATCCAGGCTTTCTCCCATTACACTGAAATGCTGACTTAACGAGTAAAACCCAGATCATTCTGGTATAAAGTAGCCCTGAAAACTGTAATTCAGAATAGAGATGAAGAATAAGAGATGTTCCAAAAAAATAAAAAAAGAAGAAAAAATAATAAGAGATGTTCCTAAGAATTCCAAGGATTCCATAGTCTCCTATGGAATACAAAGGAGATGACACTGTCAGTACACCCCAGCTTTCTGCTACCTACTTGTCTTTACATTATACACTGGCTTTTAAAATTCACTGATTTAATGTTGTGTGTTTACCAAATGGCTGTTTCATTGTTATCATGTACTACAAGTATAATGTATTACAATTTAAACTATGCTTTGCAAAACTTTTATTGTCATTTTCAGCAATCCAGTGTGGGTGAGTATAAATGAGGGATAAATAGGTCTTTTTGCACGTTAAAATGAATCTAAATTCTCTGATTCTTCATACTTTATACCCACACATGGGACAGGCTTGTTTTTCTATGCCTTTTTTACACGTGCCACTAAATAAGGTCACAGTGTGACTTACTCAAGGTCACTTAAGTTAGTGGGTGGTAAAAGGAATAAACTTGCAGTTTTTGGTTTATTCCTTTGGCTGAAAGCAATGCATTGGTACATTAGAAGAGAGTTCAACTTTAAGCATCTAGTGTGAACATTCACTTGCTTTTTCTTTCTCCTTCCTTCCTTTTTAAAATTAAGTTATTTAAAAGGGATCAATTATAACTTTAACAGGGAATTTGGAAAAAATGGGTCATTTCCTAAAGAGGTTAAAAATGTGTACCTAGGGGGTGCCTGGGTGGCTTCGTCGGTTAAGCGTCCGACTTTCGCTTAGGTCATGATCTCGCGGTTCGTGGGTTTGAGCCCCGCGTCGGGCTCTGTGCTGACTGCCAGCTCAGAGCCTGGAGCCTGTTTGACTGTGACTCCCTCTCTCTCTGACCCTCCCCTGCTCACGCTCTCTCTCTCTCTCTCTCCTAGAAATAAATAAAACATTAAAAAAAAAATGTGTACCTAGAGTTGGACAGATATGGCTTTAATAGGTGGCTGTATAACCCACTGGCTATGTGACCTTGGGCAGTTACCTCACATTGGTGGGCCTCAGTTATTTTATCTGCAAAAATGAGATTGATAAAAATAGCAGACACCCATTAAGTGGCTATTATGTGCCAGGAAGGTATTAAAATTTACATCCATTTCAATTAATCATTCTAACAGTGCCATATGGGCAAATGAATTTGAGGGACTGAAGTGGCTTTTCATATCCACAATGGAAGTGGCAGAGCTTAGATCTGAACCAAGATCAACCAGACTCCAAAGCCAATGCCTTTACCTATTACCCAGTATCTACCTGATAGGGCTGTTGATGATAAATAAGGCAGATGTGATGTGTGTTGCACAGGTCTGACACATAAAGAGTTCCATCAATAGTAGGTTGAACCACATGAAATTGCTGACATTTGATCATTTTTAACCTACAAAAATGGCCATTTCATGTGGTTCAACCTGAAAGAAGATGATGGTGCTGATGAATTATGAATAGGTCAGCCAGGCTGAACAGATATTTCGTGAAAACGAGTAGGAAATGAAAAACTGATGCACATTTCAAGTATTATTTTTTCATGTGGGTCTTGGGAAACAGGCTTCCTTCCATTGTTTTTGTGACAATAGGTCGGTGCTATGTAATGACCTGGATATTAACGAGGTCCCTATGAACTTCCCTGTGGACACTGTGAAGCTACGTATAGAGAAGACTGTCATCCGCAGAATCCCCGCAGAGGCCTTCTACTACCTGGTGGAGCTCCAGTACCTCTGGGTGACTTACAATTCCGTGGCCAGCCTTGATCCCAGCAGCTTTTACAATCTAAAGCAGCTGCATGAGCTGCGCTTGGATGGAAATTCTCTGGCAGCTTTCCCTTGGGCATCTCTGTTGGACATGCCCCAGCTGAGGACCCTGGATTTGCACAACAACAGAATAACCAGTGTGCCTAATGAGGTGGTCAGGTACCTGAAGAACCTCGCCTACTTGGATTTATCGAGCAACAGGCTAACCACACTACCACCAGATTTCTTGGAGAGCTGGTCCCACTTACTTACAACATCGTCACGTAGCCTGGACCTCTCGCCACGAAGAATTATTCTTGGTAAGCTCAGAAGCCTCTGGGCTGCTCAAGTCCACATAATTCGCT